ATTTTGACTAAAAAATGAAGTTACATGATAGCCAAAGACAATTTTAGTCCATTTTAAAGATATCCCCAAGAAAGTTAATTCTGTACAGTGAGATTTGAAATGACAATAGTTTTATCAATCATAGTAGTAAAGAGGAATTAAAGTAAACTATATATGCAAGGCAAGAAGATAGAGAAGGAGCAGAAAGCTTCTCCTTGCAGGATACTCAAAGGTCAAAACCAAACCTGAATGGTTAAAAAAAAGAAAGAAAGAAAGAAAGAACAGGCAGTTTGATGATGCAAAACCAGGCAGGACCAGTAAGTTCCATGAACACTCTCATTTGCATAATCTCAACCATGCCACTTTCTTGCTTATTTCTTCGTTCAGTTCTATTTAATTTTTCACTTTGTCACAGTTTATAGTTCCAGCTTCCAGGTATTGTCACTTTGTCTTGTCTTTTCATGCTATTTAGCAAAATCTTTTGTAGTAATAGGTCCTGCATATCAGACAGATATCTATTCCTTGTGTGCATCCAAGTCGCGAAAACTAAGAAGTTCAGTCAATAGTCACTTTTTCCTAGCTTTCGTGCACAGATAACAATATCTTAAAAAATTAACATCATCACATCAGAACATTTTTGTCAGATCAATAAGGTTGTATTTTCTCACACTTTCTATGCTGCATCCATTAAGAAAATTATTAGCGTTTCTTATTGTCCTTCTGAACCGCGAAAGTTGACTATAACATGACTTTGCTTTTAGTTCAAATGTTCAACAGCATACAAGACAGACGCATTCACTTGATGAGGATGCAATGTAGGTGTATAAACATATCCTTTTTCTTCCTTGATCATCTACTTGAAAATATTGAATCACAAATACGTTCGAGAACGGGATTTCAAAGATTCAGGTGGAGGAGAATATACAGGAAAGAGAAGCTCAGTTTCCTTTCATGGTAAAAGAATAAGGCCGTCGAAAGAGAACTGGGTAGGAAATACTTGCAATTTCTATCACTCCCTCCATTTTAAATGAACTTAAATAAAATTCAAAAAATCTAGTTCGGTTCAAGATCGCGTAAAATAACTACACACGAAGCCAAAAACTTAATAAGGGGAAATAAAAAAGGAAAAAAAAGAGAGAAACGGATGTAGAATATTACTCGAGACCATCGGTTAAATCAGGCTTTCGTCGCCATTGCTCTCAGCAATTTCCGCCTGGCAAATATAAGCGAAACCCTTCAAATAATTAGGGGGAAAAAAAAAAGCAAATCCGAGCGTGCATGAGGGGAAGAAGAAGCATGCGAGGGAGTCACCTGGTTGGTAGAAGGGGAGGCGGAGTTAGCGGAATTGGAGGCGGAGAGAGGAGGAGAAGGCATCGCCGCCATTTTGTTTGGTGGTTGAATTTCAGAAGGAACAGACCAGATAATGCTGCGATAGTTGCTCGTCTTTACGCTTGCAGCAAATAAACGAATTTCACTCACTTGCCGATGATTTACTATTACACAATAGACCTAAATATGATGTATTAATTAATATAATAATAAAAATGGAAAATGAAACATCATATTTTTGAAATGAGGAATGGGGAGGGTCGCCAATGGTGTTAAAATAATATTTTTGAATAAGTGTCACTCTCTCTGGTAAAAATATAAAATATTTTTTAAAGAGTTGAATGTTAAAAAATATAAAATATTTTTAATCTTTTGAAATGTAATTATTATCTTTTTTTTTTAAATGTCTCTATTGATAATGACTTTATATTTATTGTAGGGTATTTAATAGGGGTAAATATGAAAAAAAAGAATAATTAAAAAGTAGATAACTACTTTATTGAGGGTGAGATTTGATTAAAACTGCCTTGTATTTTTATATAAGAAAAGTATCATATCATGGCAACGTACTGTCAACGATGTTTGATGAATTATAATATAATATAATTTTATTAAATAAATTAAAGGCGGTTATAATAATTATAAACCCCTAAACTTAATGATAACAAACTCATCTAGATACCAAAAACAGAAAGAGGAAGATATAATTGGTAAAGACTTGTCCATGTGGATCTAAAAAGGGAAAATCACATTTAGCAATACTCCTCAAAGGAATTAATCACAAATAAAAATCCATAAAAAATAAAATATTAAATGAGAACATGACTTTTTTTTTGAATGGGACTTATTATTGGTCATTATCTGTAATTAATCCTCTTATGGGGGCTAGATGTGATTCTCTCATTTAAAAATGGTATAATCAAATGATGCATACATTCATCTGTGGGCATTTTTTAAATTTTGCTTTGTCAACATCAAAGATGTTGAAATACTAGACATTACTCACATTCCACCATGTCATCACCATAGAGCTCTCACCCTAAAAATGTTACGAATTTAGTGTATTTAGTGTTGATGTGATAATCAAATTATTAAAAATCAGATTAGACCACGCTAACGACTGGTCAACATGAAACACTTATTTGGGGTTAGGTCGGATTAAATCGTTGTGGATTGGCTTTTAAATCAAAAACTTGATTTAGTTCTTAAAAACTGAAACAACTCATAAAATGACCCATCTACCCTTTCCCTAAAACTAAATGATGCATGGACATAGAGCAGAGCACACATTTTTCAACTTTGTCCTCCTTCTCATCTCATTCTCTACAATGGTGCAACTACGGCTACGCAATTGATGTTGACCCTCACTCAAGCCCCAATCAATTGATGTTGACCATGGCATACACCGAGCTAAGCAGCCAGCGATGCTAAACTCTAAAATTCATCCTCCCTTCTTCTTTGTCTCGTTGATTGTTTTGTTTGCTCTACTCATTGCTACCAACTGATCCCCATCACCATTCCCTTCTTCTTGTCCAATCGTCTTTTGAGTTTGATATTCTTCTTCATGTGTCTACTTCATCATCACAGTAAGATTTTTGTATTTCAAGTCCTTAGATATTAGAATCTTTTAGGTTGACTCCATGTGAAGATTGTTTTGTTGCCGAATAGAAAAATTATTCGTGAAA